TTCTCGTTGACAGACTATTCCTTGATTGCAAATTTGAAGAAATGTTGGGGATTGGATGACTGATGGTAGGTGTTATGGAAAGGTTGCTATGGATTTTGGTAGGTTAATTACCTATTTTGGGAATGATCGAAATTTGGTTTGGGGATTATTTGTGAGCCTAATAAGAATGTGTATTCTGTATCAGATCGGATTTGCTTGCTCATGCGCAGCTATTACCACAGGTATATCATCGGGCGGAATGGATGTTATTCGTGCTTGGTCTATGTTATAAGTTTCTCTCTTATGCTATGGTGGGTGGTGAAGGTTACTTAATTTTTCGCACGCATATTGTAATTCCATTGTGGCCTTATGGCGTTATGAGTGAGATGACCCTCGTGATGTTGATTTGCTCATGGCACCATAGTCGTGCTTTTCTTTCTCAGTATTGTTATGCCTAATCATCTTCCTACAATTATATTTTATGCACTTTATCGTGCTTGATGTTGACGCACATGTGATCAGTGAGCTCGAGTATTATGGCTTGACGGGTACTATGTGGATTGATATAATGGGATCGGGTTGCGTGCCACAATAATATTGTGATGAAATGTAGCTCCTTATGCGTATTTCATGTATTTTGCTTTCACATTGTTGAAAATAGTTCATAGAAAAATGTTAAAATTACTCTGCCTGCTTAACTTGCTTAGTAGCCTTCTTATTTAACTTTCTTACTACTATCTGTCATGTCTGAATTATTACTTGTTGGTATTCGAGACTACGTTGTGAGGGGTTCCATATGGTTTTTGGTGGGGCTGGTCAGTTGGGTTGCTTGTATTGGCTGAGATGAGGTTTCTAGACCTGAGATTTGCACTATCGTATTTGGGTAAGGAATATTTGGAAGAATGATACCATATTTCTGGTAAGAATTTGGGCAATGGCCCTGGTTGGACGAGTGAGCTTCTTGGCTTATTGATCAAATGAGTGGTTAAGAGATTCTGCATGTTTCTTTCATCATCGGCAATGTACTAAGGTTTTGAACGAGGTTTCATTTGATAAGAGGTTCACTACCGGACCTTATTTGCTTTTGGGCAGCTATGGGGATCAGTGGTTACTGTCGTTAGTAACTAAGTGATGTGGTATATCATGTGATTATATCTTGGGTTATGGTTGTGACTTAATACAACTTGTTCAGACTTATACAATGAGTAAATGCGATATTCGGGTCTTTTAATGAATTCCAAATGTTGGAAATTTGGTTCTAAGGTTTGCGGACTAAGGTTGAAGTAATGATCTTCAATTATATGGTGTTTTTAGGTTTATATGGGTTGGGGTGATGTGGGATCACCCCCGGGTATGTGTGTAGTAAGGTTACCCCGTGATTTGATGGTCTTGGAATGACTCTTGGCACGTTCGAGGACGAATGTATGTTTAAGTGAGGGAGGATGTAGCGACCCGACCAGTCATTTTCAGCATTTGCATTTTGTTTAGCCGTTTGAAGTCTTGAGTAGCTTCATATGACGTGTTATGACTTGTGTCAATCGTTAGTTTTGGTTTTCATGAGATTCTGGATTGATTCGAAAGAAAGATTCTTATGTTAGAAGCTTTGAGTTAGAAAGGTTGACTAAATTTGACTTTTGCGTATTTTACCTCGGATCAGAGTTTTGATGGTTCTGTTAGGTCCGGATGGTGATTTTGGACTTGGGCGTATGCCAGAATTTGCATTTGGATATTTCTTAAAGGTTTCGGCACGAATTGGCGAAAGTTAGCAATTTGAAGATTTGGAATGTTCATAAGTTGACCGAGGGTTGATGTTGATGTTATCGGGTTCATATTTTGGTCCCGGGAGTTGGAGTAGCTTCGTTATGTCATTTGAAACTTGTGAGCAAAATTTGAGGTTATTCCGGGTTGATTTGATATATTTCGGCGCGGGATTTGGACGTTAAAAGTTCAAAGGTTCATTAAGTTCGATTTGAGGCGTGATTCATGGTTTTGATGTGGTTATGTGTGATTTGAGGCCTCGAGAAAGTTAGTGTTATATTATGAGACTTGTTGGTATGTTCGGACGGGATCTCTAGGGGCTCAGGTGAGTTTCGAACCTTTTTAGGCCATGTTGTTATTGCTGGTTTCTGTTGTTACCTGTTGCTTCTGGTGTTCTTCACGATCACGAAGGTCCAACCGTGATCGCGAAGTGTATTTTGGTCTGTTGCGAATTTTTCCTCTGCGGACGCGAGTTATGGAATGCGTTCGCGAAAGGTAAGCTGATTGTGTTCTGCGTTCGCGATGAGGTGCCACGTTCGCATAGAGTCGTGGTTGAGGAGCTGGGGAAGATGTCTGCGCGTTCACGAAGTAGCAGCCACGTTCGCAAAGGGTTGGTTCTGTTGTGCATCGCGTTCGCGAGGACTCTACCGTGAACACTTATTGTCTTTTTGTGCCGATATGATTTTGTTCATCGCGAACGCGATGGTCTTCCAGCGTTCGCGATGAGTATTGCTGGAGGAGTGTTATAAAGTGCTCTATTTCGAAGGTTTTAGATATTTTATCACATTTTGAGTTATGGAGCTCGGATTTGGGCAATTTTGGAGGCGAATTTCATCACGTGTATTGAGGTAAGTGTTTGCTACTCGATTTTGATTAT